GGGCTAGGGGAGAGCCCAGAAGGCAGACACAGACCGAGATACAGTAATTAGTGGATTTTAATATAACTGATGTAGAACAACTAAGAAGCTCAACCTGACAAAACAATGCAAAGACATCTACAGAAGACTACAACTACACAGTTCAGTCAGGGAGCTTTATGACGAACCGAAAACACATGAAACAAAACCAACAAATCAAAGGAGCAAACGAAAACCCAATGTGGCCGGCTAAGACTAGTGATGGCTGACACCGATGCTCCGATACAAGTCTCAAACTCGAAGCAGCATTTTCCTTGAACCACTGCTTCGAAGCTTGCTTTGGTGCAGAAAAAGACACGTGACCAATGATGTCCGAAGAAGAAACTGCTTTGTTCCCAAGTGAATCATGTGACTGGTTCAAACCAGTTGGTACTGCTTCATAGCGCAAGATGCTTTGTAATGTGAAAAAAATTGTTTCTCACTAAAAATCTTTGAATCTCCATCCCACTTACATAATCATACCCTGCCCTAGTTACACAAGCACACCCTACCATCCTACCACATCCTGTTTTTCCCATGTACCAAGTTTATAGAATCGACTGACCAATCAAGCAATCTTTACAAAAATGTATTTACATCATTCACACAAACCCTAGTAACACTGATCACATAATTAAGACATTGTTTTGCTGTCTCCTATTTCACCACTAGATGTCACTGAAATTCCAGAGAAAGTGCTGAAAGAGGGGTATACCAGGCCGCACTGAAATACTAACTAGCAGTACATGGCCACCTGTTGTGTGGCTTTTCAACCCAGGACACCAAGGCTGAACCAGGTGTATTGCTGTCCTGTGAACTACAAGGCATTAGGTAACAAATGAAAGGATATTCATCTGGTGCAATGGCAACCTGGTTGCAGACGGTGTTACAAACAGTGGGCTTATGTCTAGGCTGAAGGACTCAATTAGCAGACTCAGACAGAATATTTAAAATAACTTTATTACAAATGGTTAGAGTAAGCGTGAGGGTCCCAGGTGGGAGTCAACCCGGCCTGCATCTGGGTGCCAATGAGGACTGGTAGCAGGTGCTAGGAGATTGATGACTGGAGAGGTGCCAATGAGGCAGGCCACTCTAGCAGATATGGTGGTTTATGGGTTCATGGGTACCCCCAGGCGATGGTGAGTAAATACAGGTAGGTGGTCGGTGTAATGCTGGAATGAGCTGAATGGTGTTACAGGAAACCAAGGAGCTGAGCAGGGTCGATGCTGGTGGAGGAGTTGGAACAGGTGAGTTCGAGCAGGGTCGATGCTGGTGGAGGAGTTCCCCAGGTGGTGGCGAGAAGGAACAGGTGAGTTTGGTCACAGGACTGGAGGTAGCTGGTTCGGTGTTGATGTTGCAGGTGAGCAAGGGAGTGGGTGGTTCAGGAGCAGCTTAGGAGTGGTGAACACAGGAACGGTGCATGCCATTGAAAGGAGCCAACTAGGGAGGAACAAGGAACACAGGTGAGTGGCTGACACAGGACTGAATGGGACTTACTTAGCATCGAGGGGTTCAGGCAGGCTGAGGGTAGCCGTCTCAGGAGCTAGCCAAGCAGTAGCATGAATCGCAGGCGAGTACAGACACAGAGCTGGAGGAGACTTATTCAGTGTCAAAGAGTTCAGGAAAGCTGAATGAAAAGAGCTCATGTGAGGTGCTGGCTGAGGATGAGTGAGAGAAACCTTCAGGAAAGGAAGCTCTTTGGGTTTTGGCTGTAGTTAGTGCAACAATTCAAACAAGTAGGGTGTCATGAACCAAGTAATGAATGAGCAAGTGACTGAGGCGAAAAGAGGTGGTTTATATGGCTGAAAACCAGGGGGTGATTGGCAACAGGTATAGACGATGAACGCTGATTGGAACCATGGTAAAGCTGGGGCAGGAGAGGTGAAGCGGAATGGCAAAAACAACCCAAAATAAAAGCACAAAAACAGGAAGCGAGTCCAAATCATAACATACGGATGGAAAATAAAATCTATGACTTCAACCAGTAGTGGTAATTAATGCTAGGTTTTGGCCCGGAGTTGATCCATGATGGCAGATTTAGTTAACAGTAATCCATATATGAGTCAGATGGTTAATCATACAAACTTCTTATTAGTTTTTGATGTGTTAACATTAGTACAGGGACTCATGCTTAATTAAAGCATTAATGAATGCTTATGTACCTGTATTATAAAGTGTTATCTGTAAATTGTTTATGAACGTTAAAAGTTGACAGAATAAATATGAAAACAGACCAAAAGGTTATGAAGGGCAGTGGGCTCCTGAACATCTGTCTATTCAAACTAATGGAGAAGCAAAAAGTTGATAAAAAGCTACACTAAAGAAAAGTAACAGCATAAATCTACCAAAGACGACCCACATTTTAATTTTAAAGTTTGAATGAAGTTTCTGGCCAAAAACATCTAGAAGTAGATATGGACTAAAGAAAAGTAATGTGGCCAAAGGTTTATGGAAGTAGGATAACAATAGCTGGGAGAGCTGCTGGCTCATCTCTCCCAAATAATAATAATATTCTGCTTCTATATAATAATAATTTACTAATATAACCCTTTGGAAGCTGTTAATGCTCAACATGAGAATGCCAAAGACTGTTTTCTCTTATTCCACCTGGAATTCACTTTCTCTGCCATGTCGTGTTGATTAAGTTATTTGTATGTAGGGTTTGTACTGTTCCCATTGCCATTTTCAGCCAAATGACAGCCATGCTACCACAACAAAAAAGCACCAGCACACTGTATAGTTAATTTATGATAGTTAATCTTGTATTGAGAGCATCTTGACCAGCTGCATCACCTGTGGTTAGCACCGTTGCCTCACAGCGAGAAGGTTCTGGGTTCGGGCCCCACCCGGGACCTTTCTGTGTGGAGTTTGCATGTTCTCCCCGTGCTTGCGTGGGTTCGCTCCGGGTACTCCGGCTTCCTCCCACAGTCCAAAGACATGCAGCTTAGGTTTATTGGTGTCTCTAAATTGCCCAGCGGGGGTGCGTGTGTGTGGTTGTTTGTCTATGTGTTAGCCGTGCGATGGATTGGCGACCTGTCCGGGGTGTACCCCGCCTTCGCCCGATTGCCGGCCGGGATTGGTTCCGGCCCCACCCGTGACCCCGTTCAGGGACTAAGCGGTAGACAATGAATGAATGAATCTTGTATATAGAATGTGTCTTTGTGTGCTTTTCCCTGTGCCACGTTGACATTCACACAATAGTAAAAGCCAAAAGGTATATTGTAGCTGACAGAGTTCCAGACTTCGCGATTCAGCTGCAAACACATTCTGTACATCGAGGTGATCGCACTGCTGCTTTGGGGAAGGTAAAAGGAGGTGGTGTTTGTGTGTTTATCAATAACTTATCTTGTGGAGATGTACGGACTGTTTATAAGCACTGTTCGCCAGATGTAGAGTTTTAATTGCTGAAATGCCAGAGAGCATAGTGCTGTGTTTCTGGCTGCTGTGTATGTTAGCCCAAGAGCTAATCCCTCTGTGGCTCTCAGTAAAATCTATGATGTCATCAACGTACTAGAGACAGCTCACCCCAATGCTGTATTTATCGCTGCATACATGGTGCATACAAAGAGGAGGGACCAGCCCCTGGAACCTTCAAAGTAAAGGCATGAAGTAGATCAGGGTCATTGTTGTGCCAAGTCAGGTAAACTTTTAACAGTATTGTGTGTTTGTAGTCTAGCTATGTGCAAGAGATTACAGATTTTGTTTGGCTAACCAAAGAGTGTTTAAATATTTATCCTGTTCAATAGTTAGTCGGCTACAGCCTAGTCTGGATAGGCCACCAGGGGGCATGGAATCACCCATGCTGCATAGCAACACTGGAGCCCCACAGGACGCAATGGTAATGTCACCCTAGCCTTTGATCTAGCTGGTGTAAAAACACCACAGTTCCCAGGTAAGGGCAGCTGGGAAGTATATCTCACCCAGTTTGAACTTTTAGCTGTCACCACACACTGATTGGGGGAGATGGAGGCACTGCAACTGGCCTTGTCATGCCTGTTATTGCTGAGCCTTGATGAGCAGAGCGATTACGGAACCCTGATGGGGGCGCTCTGGCAAACTTGACCTGCAAGATGTCTTCCACAGTTAGTGTAAATACTGCACCTGGCTGCTGAGTGAACCTCTCTGCATCATGGCCTATGACATTGAAAGCCTGTGCAGACACGCATATGACTCTATGCCACCTGCCATCCAGAGTGAGTTAGTGAGAGATTAGTTGTCCAGGCCGTTGTCCCCGACAAGCCTAGACTGCACATGCAATTGGCTCACCCCAGAACCTTGGGTGAGGCCCTGGCGCTTGCAGTGGAGGTGCAGACCACTGTCTGTGCTCCATGGCCCAGGTCACAGCTGCCTGGAATTACATATGTCTGCAATACTTGATGCCTGTGTTGTATGATTTATGTAACATTTGATAACTTGTGAACATACATGTGTACTTCCATTGCTTATATCATTACTTTGGCAGAAACAATGTGAAGAAGGGAGAACAGTAAGATGGTTGTATAATATCCAAAAGAAAGTAGGTACAGCAAGAAGCCTGTGGAGAAGTAGGAGAGAAGAAACAATATCTAGGTTACAGTTTGGACATAAAGGACTAAACAATACATTATTTAAAATGGGTAAACATGTTACTGGATTATGTGATTTCTGAAGAAACAGTTGAGCATGTTATGATATACTGCACAAAATATGACGTTGAGAAGCAGAAGATTCAGAATTTTAGAGATATAAAGCTGGTGTTTGATATGTGTGACATTTTACAAAGAAGATATGGAGATGTATGTTTTCTGGTTTTATTTCAGTTTTTAAGAAAAACTAAACTGATAGAGAGAATTTAAGTTATTGTGTTAAATGTTTATCAGATTTACGAAAGAGTACGCAAGATTCCTGATCCAAACTCATATCCAGTTGGTGGCGGTAATGCTGTTGTTTACCAACCGCTATAAAACTCCAGGAAGAAGAAGAAGAAGAAGAAGAAGAAGAAGAAGGCGGAGCAGAAAGAGGAACAAGTTCCGATACAAAACCGGAAACAAAACAAGTCTGTCATGTGATTTTCAGCCTTCATTTCTTCATTGTGACTTGTGCAAAGATTATTAGTTGTAGGGTCAGCTTAAAGATTGAGACAAGGTAGGTGATACGGTTTACAGTTATCATGCGCATTCTTATTTTAGTTTTTACTTTTATAAATTGCTAAATAATTTTTGCACGCAGAGGTTAATTCAAGCAGTCGGTGGTTGAGTTATGATAGTAACGTCAGCTGGCAGTCATCTTGCTAATTTGCTAACGTTTGTTCACTTTAAAGAGCCGAGGTTAGCTAACAGACAATCTGAGTTATTCTGTGTTGATGAGAACGTTTACTGGAGCATGTTTTCCCTCCGCAGCTGCCGGCCGGCCTGGGTTTCTCGATAGTGCTGAGAGCATGGCGGACGTGAGTATGGCCTGAAACAAGCATCAAATACAGACTAATGTTATAGTCATTACATTCAGAACGGACAGTCCAACCTTAACATAGGCAGCTACAGGTGTGGTGTGTTCTGCAACATACCTGCCATTCATTTTATTTCATGTGACACACACACACAAAAAAATTTCTAAAGTAATCCAACCTGATCATATGCATTGATGCACAATGCTTTTTACTTCAGTCACACAATAACATTGAACAGAATGTAGAACATGTGCTGGTTCCTTTCCCATCCTCCTCCATCCTTTGTCTTTTGCAGTAGGTTTACATGGTACTGTCAGTATTTCACACACATCAGTTTCACTGCCTGGCTGCTGATCAGTTATTATAGCAAAAAGAAGTGATAAGTGTTTTATTAGAAATATGCTAAGAAAAAAATTTGCAGCCCAATCTCATCTTTTCAAAAAACGCAGAGTACAAATGTTTGTATTTATTTGCCGTTACATTCAAATATTTCAAAATCTCTTCACTCTTTGCAGACATTTAGTTTTAACTTTACTATTACAATTGCTTTAAACATTTTTACACTGACTGCACTCAGGAACCATTTAACTAAGATGTCGGTGAGTCAAGCAGCTCTACAATGATCAAACTTACAACAAGCTGTCAGTGACACAGATGCTCCCTGTGCACTCATCTGTCTGATGCTTCTGCCTCTTTCTTACTTCACTCATCATCACTCTCAGCAGCTGTTTGTAGTCAGTGGTTTACTGTTTTTAGGCTGGTAGCTACGTTTGTGCACTTGGCATCAGCCAACACGTGTGTTTTCTTTTTCTGTCACTCCTTTTCTGCACCGCCAGCCACGAGTAGAGTTGCAATGGTATGAGATTTTCACAGTATGATAACCCTGTCTGAAAATATTGCTGTATATGGTATTACGCAAATACAGTTGTTATCAGCTACAACGACCCTCAAAAGACTGAAAACAGTAGGGTCTTTGTGACTGTGGTAATTGATTGAGCTGGATTGACACTAAAGAATAAACAGAATTATAGCCTAAACATTAAATAAAGTATCTAACTGTAACGTGTTATATAACTAAAGCATGTTAGTTTACATGTTAGCACCAGTAGCAGAGGAAGTATTCACATCCTATACCATACACTGTCACAAGTAAAAGTCTTGCACGGGAAGTGTTGAGTAAAATTAAGTATTACTAATTAAAGTATTAAAAGTAGTTATATGCTACACAGAGCATAAAAATGCTACACTATCTATCCTATACTATTACATATTATATCGTTACGTTATCAGCCTGACACTCATGCATCGATGTAAAAGCAGGATTTGCTCGGTGTGGTTGAGGTGGAGCTCTGCTGAGCTATTTTGTTTATCCAAGTGTAAGTATTGATTGTTTTCATTGGGGAGTATTCTGCTGATTACTTTCTGTTAATCAACTGACTGGTTTGTAAAACAATAGCGAGAACTGCCGTCACAATGCTTTAACGGTTATCAAAGTAGTTGATACTGTAGGTGTGTGACAGTGCAGCAGGCTGATTCTGTCTGTACCTGCACACAGACACACACACAGGTCAGGTCACACTGTCTCTGAGGTCAGATTGGGATCAGTGTGACTCCTTTTGAGTCAGAGTTACATGAACGAACAGGCAATGTGGAAAATTATTTCAACCTCGTCCTTGGGTTTGGATATTCAGGCATTCGACGAGGCTAATCCTCAGTAAGTTTTAAGAGATATCATCGATCGCCACCAAGTGTTGTGCATGACAGGAGAAAGTGTCACCAGTTAACCAGCCTTTTGTTTATTATGTGTCTCTCTTTCTCCTTCCTGTTAGATCTACTTTTCTTTAGAATGGACAAAGAAACAAAAACAACATTTTGTGTTATTTACAGCAAAATAAATCTTCATATATGTGTGTGGTCTATACAGCATTTTAGCTAAATACAGTTTGGTGGCAAAAGCGATATACATATGAATTCCTCATTAGTTTAACCAAGTGTGGTGGAATTGATGTGTACGATATCGTTCACCGTGCTTTGTCATGAGACATTCATGATAGCCAGTAAACAAGATGGCATTGAACTGCCAGTGAGGTTAGGACTGATGTTTGGGCCGCATTAGAGAACGCCATGTAGCCATGTAACTCTTACTGTCTGAAATGGTCTTTCCAGTGCCTCTGTAAGTAAGGGGGTCAGTGACCATTTAGTGATCATGATGATTGCCTAACTTGTTAATTTTCTAATACTTTTTTTGTTTGCAGGATTTGAAGCGGTATCTGTACAGACAGTTACAAAGGTGTGTATGATTCAGTTCAATAATGCAGACATCCCACACAACAAAAATTCCTTTCGGGGAGAACTCTCTGACACCAGGCATTTTTTGACAAGATCAATTCTGATCCATGTACAGAGCTACAGTCCATTATTTAAGCAAGCTCAGTCATTTTTTTGAGGTGTGTGTCACACAACCAATAAGCTCTTATATTAATCTGTCCGCATTGTCTGTGTGTGGGCTGGCATATCTGTGAGTTTGTTTGCATTGGAACAACACAAAAAAGCAGAGAAACAAAAAACCCAAATCTGATCCATTCCACTCCAAAAACGGACTGGACAGAATTATTGACACCCTCAACTTAATCTTTGGTAGCCCACCTTTTGGACAAAATAACTGAAATCGGTCACTTCCTGAAACAATCAGTGAGTTTCTTCCACCTCTCTGGAATTCTGGACCACTCTTCTTTTGCCAGCTGCTCCAGGTCTCTCAGGTCTCAAGGGTTCCTTCTCCCAGCTGCTGTTCTGAGATCTCTCTACAGGTGCTCTATGGGATTTAGATCTGGACTTGTTGCTGGCCACTTCAGAACTCTCCGGCTCATTGTCTGAAACCATTTCTGGTGCTTTTTGAAGTTTGGGTCATGGTCCTGCTGTAAGACTCACGGCCTCTGATGGAGACCCAACTTTCTGACACGTGTTTGACTGTAGGGACCATGTTTCTTTCTCTGAAGGCCTCAATTTGTTTTCTGAAAACAGTAGAATGATGTGCTCGACCAGAAAGCTCTATTTTAGTCTCATCTGTCCACAGGACATTCTGCTTCAGATTTCATAATGCCACACACACAGTCAAGACATCCAGTGGCTGAAGCAGCAAAGCAGTTTGACTGTAGGGACAATGTTCTGAGTCTCCGACCATAGTGTCCCTTGTCATTCAGATGGCGACCGATAGTGCGAGCTGACACCGCTGCACCCTGTGCCTGCAGGTCAGCTTGACTTTATTTGGAAGTTAATCGAGGTTCTTTATTCACCATTGGAACATTGCTTTGTTACAATCTGTCATCTATTTTTCTCTTTGGTCCATGTCCAAGGAGATTAGCTACAGCGCCATGGGTTGTAAACGTCTTGCCAATGTTGGCACCGTGGACACAGGAACAGCCAGATCTCTGGAGATGGACTTGGAGCCTTGAGACTGTCCAGGCTTTTCCACTATTGTGATTCTCAGACCCTCAGACAATTCTTTGCTCTTCTTTCTTTTCTTTATGCTCAGTGTGGTCCACATGACACAAAGGTTGACTCAGCGTTTACACCACAGTCCAGCCAACAATTTAAGATGGGTGCATCTGTAGAAGCAAAAATGGCGTTTCATGGAGCAGCCATTGTCAAAAAAAAGCACAAGAGTTTCTCCTCTTGGCTTCTGTACTTGTTAAGATGATGAACAGAGAGGTTGAATGTAAAGCCTGCCCACAAAGAAAAGTGATTGGCTCACTTAGCACAAACGGAGACCAATGAGGATACTTTCTCTCTCTCCCTCTCTCGTTCACTCTCTCTCCCTCTCTTGTTTGCTCATGCTAAAAAAAATTGATTTCTGTGATATTGTACACGGGGGCTGCTATCAGTCTGCAGGAGTCTCCTGGAACTTCTGGGAGAGGTGGGATGTCTGCCTAATGGTAAATGTTTGTCACAGTTGACAGTGAAGCTGTCAGCCTGTATTGTGTTTAGGTTTTCATTTGTAAAATTTGTCTTCTACAGTGTTGAAGGTCTTCATGCTATTGTAGTGACAGACAGGGATGGTGTCCCAGTTATCAAAGGTAGGAAACCACTTCTGAATCCTTAGGTCTTTGTCTTGTATATTGGCCAAACTTACTTTATTACAGTGAATAAGTTTATAAAAGTGAATAAGTTGCAATCTGCGTATTTTATAAGACAATATTTGAAGCTAATCGTGTGGCCGGAACAGAAGGAGGAGTAGCCCTTTACTGTCTGGCAAGTCCATAACATTGCTGTTGTGTCCTTCCAGTTGCCAATGACAGTGCCCCAGTCCATGCTCTGAGGCCTGGCTTCCTGTCCACTTTTGCCCTGGCCACAGATCAGGGCAGCAAGCTTGGTCTCTCCAAGAACAAAAGCATCATCTGCTACTACAACACCTACCAGGTAGATGCCATCTTCACGGTAACAAGTCCAATTTCTGCCACCTCTGAAATGCACAGTGTGTCATGAAAGATTGTGGGTTGCTGACGTGACATGGCACTTTCAGTCACGCACGATTAAAAGTTAATATAATTAACATTGTCATCATTTAAAATGCAGTAAATAGTTAAACATTTCTTTGTTTTACACGAACCTGTTGTTATAAAAACTGCTTCATAATTAGATTTCTTAAAATTTTGTCCAATCTCAAAGCTGTCCTACGCTGTGACTGTCTCAGGCAAAAATAAAAGTGTAAAATATTGATAAATACGTCAGGGATAATTTTAGAAGTGTCTGCTTCATTAAATCTCAATAATTGTTTTCATGCATACATTTCTAGGAACATGGTATGTTTTGTCACTGAAGCCACATCCTCTGGTGACACCATATCCGATTTTAAATTGGGCTGTTCCATGGACAACTTGATTTAGTTAAAGGACCCCATTCAAGGACATGTGACTGAGGTCCCCTCTGAAGTCCATGACATGTACACGTGCTAAGTTTTTTTTTTTTTTCTCTCAGAATTGTTTAAATATATAACTTATTTTGGAACTACTAAAAGGTTTTTTGACTTGGTGTGAGACCCCTAAAGTACTTTTTTAAATGAAAAGCTATGTTAACCTATATAATCAAAGGACACATTTGCAGTGCTGCACAGTGAAAACATTCAAAAAAATCGGCAAAAGTAGTGACCCCTTATATTTTCTCAAATATCAGACACTACATAAATGTCATTGTTCTTCAAAACTGGTGCATGTCATGATATCTAAGCATTTTTTTACTGCTCATTTCTGAACTGCCCTTAGGCATTAATTTAAAACGGAAAAACACTGAACCACTTGTCTATGACAACTACTCAGAAAGGGATTTGATGTCCTGTGTGAACATCGTAAGGCTTGTTTCGTAGGCGTGTTCGGTGGATGCTGTCAGGTGCTCGCCGGCCTGCATCGTCTGTAGTGCTTTACGTTTTTCACAGTGATCCTCTTTCCCCTAAGTCTGTTTTTCAACCCAACATGTCTGTCTCTGTGTTGAACAGATTGTGCAGTTCAATCGATTACCACTGGTCATCAGTTTCATTGCCAGCAGCAACGCCAACACAGGTAAAATCTGTAAATGAATTACTGTATACTGTTGATTGCTTTTGAACTCCTCTGAAAGCATTGTGTAGAGTAATAAGAGAGTGAAGCACAGATACCATTATAAATAAACAGGGATGGTTCATGTCTGAGGAGCTAAGAAGATGTCAGATTAACATATGTCCTGTTCCAGGCTGATCCCTCTGTGTCCCCGCGCAGTGTCCACCACTGTCACAAATACTCCTTACTGTCGTAAACCCTACATCACTTTCTTTTGGATACCTAATATTTTGGTGCTCACAGCCAAACACCAGCAACTTTATTAGCTACACTTGTTGGATGTAATTCAATGCAACACTTCCACTTTAACACAATATATTTAGCGGTGTCTCAGTATTTTTGTCCTCCCCAGATACATGTATGAGAAGGTCAGAATATTAGGAACACCTCTAAATATAATATAGGCCAGTACATCACCACATTTAACTGTGATCTTAATAATAAAAATAGAATAAAATGTATACATTTATGACAATTTCACCAAAAACGGGGGATATAGGGGGTTGTTACTGATTTTGTGGAGTGGTGTGAGAAAAATCCCCTGGTCCTGAACACCAGCAAGACAAAAGAGATGGTGATTGACCCCCGGTAGAAATCAACAGCAGTCACGCCGGTGAGCTTTCAGGGCTCAGATATTGAGATTGTGGACGCTTTTAAATACCTGGGTACCGGGGTACCTCAACAATAAACTGGATTGGACCAACAACATAGATGCCCTGTACAGGAAGGGCCAGAGCCGCCTCCACTTGTTGAGGAGACTGAGGTCCTTTGGTGTGTGCGGGGCACTCCTTCGGTCATTTTATGATTATGTGGTGGCATCTGCGGTTTTTTACGCTGTTGTGGGTTGGGCGGGAGGTAGCACGGTCAGGGACAGAAAGAGACTAAACAAGCTGGTTAAGAGAGCTGGTTCTGTCCCGGGCTGCCCTCTGGACTCCATTGAGGAGGTGGCGGACAGAAGGATGCTGGTAAAACTAACATCCATCATGCATAACCCCTCATCCCCTGCACCACACAGTGGTGCAATACTCAAACCCTGGGGGTAAAATGCATTGTAAATATGTACATATGTAAAATCTTGTCCTTGATTTCTCTCGAATACTTTATATTGTCTTGTTTTAGGTATTTTTGAGTAGTTTTTCAGAGATCCTTATGGCTGAAATACAGGTATTTCCCCCATTGCTGGAGTAATATTCTTGTCCTTGAATGCTTGATCTCTCGAATACTATATTTAGTCTTGTTCTTAGGTATTTTTTATTTGTTCTCAGGAATTAATTGTGGGAGGATCATTCTTGTTCTTGATTGTCTCTCAAATACTATATTCTGTTTAGTTTTAGGTACTTTGGAATTTGTTACTCAAGCTATAGTGTGGTGTTTGTTCTTATGGTGTTTTGTTGCTGCTCTCTATTGCTGCTGGAACACAGAAATTTCCTCATTGTGGGATCAATAAAGTCCAACCTACCTACTTAAGGACAAAATGCAGGCAAAGTTGTGCTGATTGGACAATAATGACACTGGAACAATGTTGAGGTAAAATGATTTACTGACTCTGCAAAGGAGCAGACGTCCAGTCGAGGCACCGATGTTAACGTTACCACAGATGGGTGAAACAGCGTCCATTCTACAACTTGGACTGACTGTCCTACCTGTGCAGCATGTCATGATATCTTAGCCAAGTTCTCCTGACAGCACATAAATCGGCCAAAGCAGCAAGAGCTACTGACCAGTATTTTTTACTAAAATTTTGTGTGTCAGTCATGGCCAAATATATTGGCACCTCTGCATTTCTGTCAGATAAGGCACCACTTCTCCCGGAAAATTGTTGCAATCACATATTCGGTACTGTTTTGTTAATATGTTACTTTGTTTCAATAAAAAAAAAAAAAAAAAAGCCAAATCAGATCCATTCCACATAGATCATGTTACACATTTTAGAGTTTGCACTGCATCTCATTTTCATTTATTTTCTCAAAAAAAGTTACCTATAGAACTTTTTGATGGCTGTACTCTCTGCGTGTTTCTGCTGTTTGTATTTGGTGCTGCAGTAAAATGCTCTATTGACGTCCAGGGCTGGAGCTGAGGGCTCACTGCAGGGGGGACAAGCCCTTATCAGTGCTTGAAGTCAGAATAAAATGTGCTGGTGCTTCCCTTATTCCCCTTGTATTTACAATAGAGGACTTCTTTCACCTGCATAATGTTGCCAAAATCAGGAGGATCCTGTCTCAAAGTGATGCTGAAAAACTGGTCCATGCATTTGTTACTTCCAGGCTGCACTACTGTAACTCTTTACTATCAGGATGTCCCAATAATTCCCTAAAAAGCCTCCAGTTAATCCAAAATGCTGCAGCCAGAGTACTGACAGGAACTAGCAAGAGATATCATATCTCTCCCATATTAGCTTCTCTCCACTGGCTCCCTGTAAAATCCAGAATAGACTTTAAAATCCTTCTCCTAACATACAAAGCCCTTAATGACAAGGCTCCATCGTATCTTAAAGACCTCAGAGCCTTATCATCCTAACAGAGCACTTCGCTCTGAGTGCAGGTTTACTTGTGGTTCCCAGAGTCTATAGAATGTGTATGTGTTGTGTGTACAGTATATTTATATATGGTGTAAGTGTATATGTATATGTATGTAGGCTATGTACTGGCTATGTGTGTATGCTGTATATGCATGTGTACTCTATGTATATGACCAAGCATACTGGCAGTAACTATGGTGCACTTTGTGTCCTCAGGTCTGATCATGAGTCTAGAGAAGGAGTTGGCACCGCTCATAGAGGAACTGAGGCAGGTGGTGGAGGTGACATGAGCTTTGGAAAATGAGACGGCCCTGAGCACAACCACCTGTCTGGATCGCACACTATTCACAGAATCTCTCTCTAGTGGTGCTTTGATGTTCTGTAGGAAAATCTGTGTAGCTATTTTGATAGTTCCAAGTAATCACTTATAACACCTTAGACCTGTTTACATTATGATTGAAACTTCACTATACATTTTATGTTCTGCTGACTTTGCTTTCATCCAGTTTCTGTATAATTTAGGTGCACCTCCTCCGTGTTTTTACAGCTAAGTTTGTCAAATCAAATGTCAAAAAGTGAATAAATGTTTCACTTTATGCACCTAAATGGTTTCCATGCCTTTTCCATTACAGTTACAGTGTAAAATAGATGTATACATATTGGAGTCATAAGGTTGGTCCCAATTTCTCCATGCAGATAATTTCATACAATAGCACTCATCCTCCTTTGTTTGCCTGTAGCCACATTCCCTGTGATGCCTTTCATGGTAGCAGGCAAAAGTATTTTAGAGATATCTCATATCTCATCCTGTGAT